TAATTTTATTTTTTTTTTAACATAAGACATATTAAACTTAATATTTATGATATAGGTATATAATATAAACTTAATATTAATATATAGGTATCAAAGAAACATGCAGCTGAATTCATGTTAGAAGAACTCAATCGTCTACCTCCGTTGCCAGAAACTATACAAAATCGTCTTGTTCGAGTAAAACGTAAACCACCGGCAACAAAAAAGAAGTCGCGAAATCTTATAAAAGTTTATCAAGAACCACGCTCTGAATCTGATGCTGCAGAAGAAGTTAATCCTGTTTCGCGATTGGATCAAATACAACAAGCTAAACGAGAAAAAGAACCTGTCTATAATTTAATTGAAGAAAAAGGAGCACCAAGGCGAAAAGAATTCGTTATGGAAGTTACTATGGGACAACATTCTGCTCAAGGAATTGGTCCAAATAAAAAATTAGCTAAAAGAGCTGCGGCAGAGGCTCTTTTAGCACAATTAGGTTACAGTAAGCCTCAACCACAACCTACTAAGCCATCAATTAAAACAGGAGAAAGTGAAAATACTGAACAAAAACCTAGGAAAGTCACATTTTTAGAAGATGAACAAATTAATGAAACTCAATCTCATCCACCAGTAGGAGGTAAGATTAATTTAATGTAAATGAAAATTAATTTATATATAATAAAAATTGTTATGCTGTTTATTCTATGTAAATTATAAAAAGCAAATTTTAAAAATTTAAGAATTACATGTAATTTATTATATATGAATATTTTAAAAATTTATTAATATTAATATTATTATGATTATTAATATTAATCAGGAACTATTGGACGTCAGTTAGTACCTGGACTTCTATTAGTGGATGGAGGTCAGGAATCTAAATTAGGCAGCGGACCTAGTGTACAAATTGTTGCCGAAGAATTACGAGGACAACAGCAACAAAATCCACCTACTGTTTCTCCCAAAGATCAATTAAAATATCTCTCTCAATTATTTAACTTCAGCGTGGAATTTAATGATTTTCCAAAGGTAAATTAAAATTTTTAAAATATGTATTTATAAATAACATATATAGTATTAAAATATCAAAAATAGTATTTATATTTTATATGTAAAAAAAAGAATAAATCAATATGAAACAATAAATTAATAATTAATTGATAATATTGTTTTTAGGGAGCAGTAAATAAAGAATATCTATCACTTGTAACATTAAGTACAGATCCACCACAAGTTTGTCATGGTAATGGGCCAACGAGAACTGCAAGTCGTAACGAAGCAGCATTGAAAGCTTTATGTACTTTAAGTAAGCTGGGTCTCGATAATGCATCCAACTCACAAACAAAAAAAGATAAAGGTGCGTCTGGAGATGGAATACACATTAGCATTCAAGTTAAAAACAATATAATGGATGGAGCTATTGATAAGTAATTATATAGTATTTAAGACTTATATAAGTTTACATTGCCCTTTTAAGGCATTGCAAAGGAAAATTAACTTAAGGATATTTCATAAAGTCATTGATGAGAACAATATATGTTAGAAAGAAAATTTTATATACCAAATGATTTCATTATAGGTTTAGTATTAATTTGTATATTAATATTAAACCTCTATATTGAAATTAAATAATTTTTAAGAATAATGATTTAATTGAATTCTCCTTAATTTATTACAGATAAACAGATACAGAAGTCAATGTTCTGTTTCATTATTATATGTTTATAATACTTTTTATTATTTAGGAATGCAAGTTTTTATTTTTAATAGTATATATGTTGCTTTTATCTATCCTCTTCCAATTATTTTTTACATAATATTAATCATGTGTTCTATTTTTATTAATATATTTACATATATTACAGTTGTTGAATGAAGTAATCGGAGGGAAAATGAGTCTTCTCGATCTATCTCTCTGGGCCTTATTACATGGTAACTTCAATATTGAATCACCGATGACTCTCGATCTTCATACATTACGCCATTGCTTCTTTAACTTAACGGATCGCGGATTTTGAAGATCAGTAGCTTTTTATGAAGGATCAATCTTTTGCAGTGCCTTAATCGCAACAAAAAAATTGCTCAAGCACCAATAAATGATAAATAAATAACAAAGAAATATCTTTCTTTTTTTTCTTTTTCTTTTCTACTTTTTTTTTTCTTTTCTATTTTTTTTTATAAATATATAATAAAAATCGATTGTTTGTAGTAAGCTTTGATGGATATCTATAACAATTATAAGTATGGTACAAAGTATAAACATTAATACATAAATAAATACTATAATTTAAATCATGTTTTCTACACTTAAATATGTAATTGCATCATGAAATAATAAGTATTATTGGTGCTTGATCAAGATTGTGATCCTAACAGTGGTTCATTGATTCTATTATATTTATTATAACAATTTCATTGATAGGACCACAATCAATAAACATAAAATTAAAACATCATGAATAAAATGGTCATTTTCCAGAGAGATGTGGTTTATGATCATGAAAGCATTATAGAAATGTTAAGCGAAAAATATTGAAATCTGAGATGAAATGCGGCCATCTCCTAATTTCTCTATTTAATCCTTGGCTTTCTCTTATTCTTGCGAATAAAATGTCTGTTATGTCTTATTACCTACTATGATCGCAAATCTACAAATCAATGAAACAATTTTATGAGTCTTCATTTATATAGATCTAAAAATAATTTTGGTAAATTCATCTTATTTCATACAAAAATCTTTTACCGTTTTGTTGAGCAAAGCGGGATTCTTAATAATCATTAATTTTGAAATTGTATATAACAATCAAAATAAGTGTATTTTTTCGATTAGAAATTTTAAGGATTTATGTGTATTAAGTGTCTCCAACTGAGAAATCAGTTTTTTTATAATCATAACATTCACACAAATGAAAGAAAATATTTAGGAAATATTTCTATTTATTAGATCAATATTATTAAATCAATATTATTATTACACTGGTTTATTATTAAGATTAATTACAGATAAGTAATAACAAATACAAAAGATTTGACAATTGGTTGGGGACTCTTTAAACGTATTCGGATATTCTACAAGTTTTCGTTTTCAAATTTGTAAAATTAAAAAAAAGGTAATGTGATATATTCATATTATTGCCCCAATTTGCTTTTCTATGGGGCCTAGAAGCACTCTGGGGTTATTCGTGTTTTACAAGATATTGAGAAGTAGAGGACATTCAAATTTTCATACATCCATTATCTAAAACGAAAATAAATCTGGATGTATTGGAAATTACAAATAAGATGGTAATAATTCAAAATTTGCCTCGTTGAGTCATAATTATTAAAAAAATATATTTAACTTAATCATAACGAAAAATAATAAAACAACATTGAGAAACGTTGTCAAATTTTGTTTTATTGCCAAAAGTTTATAACGATGAACTATTAAGTTGATACAAAAAATATCCGATAATGAATGAAGATAATGTCGAATAATAAACGTTCTATCTATATAAGAACAAAGAAAATATAATATTATATTTCTCGCATAAAGACTTATCTTATATTCATTATTCTCATCGTATCATTTTATAGGGGTTTCTTAAATATTAATGAATCTTTAAAAAAAAAAAAAAAAAAAAAACATACACAAGTAATGTTTCAATATGATTAATTTTCCACAATATTTCCATAATATGCTCCGTATCACGGAGATAGAAGAAAAGGATTGCTTCTATCATTTATAATACTTTTTTCTTTCAGATAACCTTTCGTAACGCGAAACCTTCCGAATAATTTATAGGTCACTCGAGGACGAGTTAATGAATGTTCCTTTTTCTGAGATATCGCTTCATAGGTGGGCCTTCCTTCTTCACGTGGGATTCAGTGTTCCAAATAAAAGAAACAAGGAAAACGAGTCATAATAAGACTCTTTCACATAATTATTTCGGTAAAAAAAAAAAAAAAAAAAAAAAAGAAACATGAATCCTACGAAAGTGTACCCCTGTTGCAGGACCTATTTTATCCGCGTAAACTGTAATACAATAGTTATAGTGGTAACAATAAGTAAATAAAGTATTAATTATTAAGATATATAAAATGGAAATATCTCGACGAAATACAAAAAATAAATGTGATTCTGAGAGATAACGCGGATGCATTAGAATAAAAGATCATTCTAAATACTTATTTTGCAAGTAACGCTTTTCTTTAAAATCTGTAATTATTGGACAATTGTACTATTGGTACATGAAAGTTAATGTATCTGATTATTATTATCATATCATAGTATATATTTTGTGTTTCATTTATTGATATAAATGCACAAAAATTTCAATATTTTCAGTAATTAAAATAATTTGTCAATTTATATTCGAATAATTAAAAAATTTAAGTTTGTTTGAATCATGTACCAATAGTTAAGGAAATAAATTCAAAATTAGTAAAAAATGCGTATCACTCATTCAAAAATTTCTATAAAAAATAATTGAAACACATTAATTTACCTTATGATATTGTATATGTTTATGTTTAAAGAAATAATTAGAACATGCTTTTCTAATAATGGAAGAAGAAATCATAATCATACGATTATTGTTTTTAATGTTGTGGTATAGAAATGAAAGTTGTGCTTAATAATAAATTAGTCATTTTGTTTCTCTTATTCATTCCTCAAGAGAATATAGTTATAAAATATAATTTTGAGTAATATTAATCAAAAAAGAAGTGTGATCGGATGAAAAAATTAAAAAATACAATAAAATTATGACAGTACAGATTTTACACTGATAAAGTTTTTTATGGCGAAAAATCGTTACATCTGTTTTAAAATGATTGTTTAATACGTAGATATTTACTGCTTATTTAAACTTTATCGGTTTGTATTTGACATCAATAAACGATTGTAAAAATGTTAAAATGTATTCAGTTTTTTAAATAATCGCAAATTATATTTTAAATTCTTAATATCTCGAACGACTAAAATCGATACATTCGAGATAATCGATTGATTTCCGATGTCGCTGTAAATCTAACAGCAACATTGATCAAACACAAATGTTATAGGTTATGTTTATCGCTAAAGTTATTTAGCAAATAAAATTTCTCAAAAAACATGTCGATATAAACTACAGATGCTTTTGTTAACTGAATGATGTTGAGTGTTATGTGAGATTTATTACTTCAAAAATAAAATCATTTAAATCATGTAACTTCTTAGTGAAATTCACATCATAAAATGAAAGGTTAAGTTGTGGATAAAACGAAAGCATAAAATTCTTTGAATTCTCTAAACGCATGTTTTTTATAAAGAAAAATAACTGAAAAAATTTTTGTAAAAACTGACTAAGAAATAAGCAAGTGAACATGTTTAAAAACACTTTTCAAAGTGGATTTTTATCAATTTTGTATAGTATTGGTAGCAAGCCATTACAAATTTGGGACAAAAAAGTAAGAAACGGGCACATAAAACGAATTACGGATAATGATATACAAAGTTTAGTACTGGAAATATTGGGTAGTAATGTCAGTACTACATATATAACATGTCCAGCAGATCCTAGAAAAACATTAGGTATAAAATTACCATTTCTAGTGATGATAATTAAGAATTTAAAAAAATATTTTACATTTGAAGTTCAGGTAAGAAAATATTTAATTATCTTATAACAAAATATGATATTAAATTTCAAATAATCATAAATATTTGATTTCAGGTAATTGATGACAAGAATGTACGCCGTAGATTTCGTGCTAGTAATTATCAATCTACAACTAGAGTAAAGCCATTTATTTGTACAATGCCAATGAGATTAGATGATGGATGGAATCAGATTCAATTTAATTTAGCTGATTTTACTAGACGTGCATATGGAACAAATTATGTGGAAACATTAAGGGTTCAAATCCATGCAAACTGTAGAATACGAAGAGTATACTTTTCTGATAGACTATATTCAGAAGATGAATTGCCAGCAGAATTTAAATTATTTTTGCCAATTCAGAATAAGGCAAAATGTTAATGTTAGTTCTAATTTTTTAACACTTTACAGAAAAATGTTTAAGAAAAGACAAGAATAAACTATAAATATTTATAAATTAATCAATTTTGTGATTTTCATTTACAGTTAATACTTATTTATTAAACATGTACTTAGTATATTAACAAATTACTATATATATGTTCTATATTAATAGTTAATAACATTGTAAGAATGATATATATTTCACTACATATATTTTATTTTTTACGCATATTTCTGTTAGATATAATGCAAATTATATTAAAAAATAAAGTTTATTTAAAAATTGACATAATTTATGCATAAAAAATCTATGTATAAAATTTATATCTAATTAATTACTTTGATTGTATTTTTCATTTAATAAAAAGTATAAATGAATTGATTAATTACTTGTATCTTTTTGTATAAAATCAAATTTATTTTATATTAAAAAAAAATAATACAAATTCACAGAGATAACTTCTTATTTTCGAAACCTACGTTTATTTATTAATCTTAAAAATATAACTATTCAGGTATTTAATTCAAACTTTGCAATGTAAATTAAAAATAATATTTTCTTTATTTATGATGAAACAATTATAAAAATATTACAATATTTTTTTAGCAATTTTAAAAAAGCTATATAATTTACACGTTAATATGAAAGATTAAACATTACGTAACAAGAAAATATATACGTACATTAGAAACTGCAGAAAACAAGATAGCAGTCGTATATACTTGGAAAGTGTATTAATTGCTAATTATTAAGTATTGATTTTTTTAAATGGGGACGTAGCATATCCAAGGGGGAGGCTGTTCGTTCGCAAGTACTTGGAACTATTTTTCGTTGCGACAAAAACATCTACATTCACTCTCCCACTACAGGCGTAGTAATACATAGTCAGAAAAATGGCGGGAAAATTTGGAAAAATTGCTACAAAATTTACTGGTGTAATGTGACTTCTACAATATGTATCGATCGAGATCTATTTCAATAAAAAAAATTTATGATTCAATAATGATGTATAGTGTAATATAACTCTGACAAATCATTTACGAAGAAAGTAAAAAATATAAAGGAATGAATGAAAGAAGATGGCGGACCAATTAAGAGTACCGCGCTGATACATTTTATTCTTTATTTCTAGTAAAAGATAAAATTTTATAAGTACAAATCTATAGATTTCATATAAAATCTTTAATTCTTATATAAATAACAAATGAATTATAATAAAAGACATAATAATTTATTAATAATAATATTGTTTGATATAACCGGAATCCATAAATAAAACAATTGGTTATATACATATGTTTTTCAAATCGACGAATGCTATTATATATTTTGTATTGAGCACTCGTTTCGGGAGAGACGCCGACGCCCGGCGCCGACGTCGTTTTTAAAGCGTTAACGTTGTGCTGAAGTAATCTCACCCAATCCGGGAGACTCATAAGTAAAAAAAATCGTTAGAATAATCAACTCTCTCAGACACATTGGTACATTCATAAAGATGCATTGCTGAAAGTTTTATATCGAACGTTTCTGTCATTTTTCATCAAGGTGTTAAAAGATATCAAAAGGGAGGGAAAATAATAATAAGCAATGAATTTAACATTGTGAAACAGAGCCGCGTGAATCATTTAATATAAATTATTTTTTAAAATGTGTTTATATATATAAAATATAGTGAAAAGAAAAATATAAAATAATAAGAACATTTTTTAGCGTGGTGATATCTTGTCATTTGTTTTCTTTCTTTTTGAAATGGGTACGGCGGGTCGCGATTTTGAGCGCGATCGGGAGGACGAGATCCACTGCCGAATTTGTGCTAGTGACATACCAAGAAACGATGGGGTTCACATTTTCGCAGAAGATGGTAGACGGCACTACTTGCAAACCAAAATACGAAAATATCTGTATATCTTGGTAAGTCTTTCTCTGCTCCATGTGAGTAAGCGCGAATGCTGCTGTATGCGCTATGCATATATATGCTGTATACATATATATATTCAAAGTAGTATATAACTAACTTGTACGTATTTTTTTTTCGAAAACTTTACTAGTATTCTAGCGATACTAGTATTACTAGTATTAGCGATACTTCGCGCTCAATCTTTTCTATATCTTTTTTTCTATATATATGATGAAATACATGTATATATATTTTTAAAATTTGAGAATTGCTGTAAAATTTTAAAATAATAATAGGCATCAATCTAAATTCATAAATATAACATTTTCAATAAATAGGATATTAAAAAGATTGTATATATTTATTAATATATATAAATTATTTATTAATGATAATTAATTAATTAGAATCATTAATAAAAAAATTAGTTATCAAATTGTTAAAATTTAAAAAAGAATTTTAAACAAAAATATGTTTTACATTATTTATTTGTATAAATTAATATAAAAATTAATTATGTTAATTTTTATACCTATATAATTTATTCAGAATAATCAAATTCTCTTCCATAAATAGAAGATGGAAGAATCCATTTTGATGAGAATACAGAAGTGTTAAAAATTAGCATTTTATTGATTACAATAAGTATGCTATATGTACTATGTAACTAGCGCATCTATAAATATAATTCTGTATACAAGATAAATCAGAAATAATAAGTAAAGTTTTTTTTAAAGTTACATTTAAAATATTTAATATTAATAAATTAAAATATTAGGAAATATTTTTATATATAAATATTTAAATAAATTTAATAAGATTAATTATTAATATATAATTAAGGTTATTATTTATTTATTAAAATATTCTGTAAAAAAATTTTAAAAATTAAAATTTATATAAAAAATTATTTTTATCAATAAAGTAAATAAAATATATTAATTTTATAAAATATTTATAAATATTTATAATTTTTTAAAAAATTTTTTATAGAAATAATTTTTTACATTTTTAATATTTTTTATGATAAATACTTTATTATTAAATATTAATTTTTCTTATTACATTCCAATAATTTTTAATTTCTAATTTTATATTTTTTATATTATTTTATATTATATTTTTTAATTTCTAATTTTTTTAACAAAAATTTTTATATTTTATCTATTTTGAGTTTTTTGATTCTCTTAATATTCTTTACAGGTATCTTCTGAAGATAAATTATCAAAGATGGTATGTGTTACTTGTATTAAAAGATTAGAGAGCATTCATCGTTTTGCTATGATGGCATATAGAACACAGGAGAAGTTAAAAATACAATTATATAATAATATTGATAATACAAATACACAAGATATGGAAAGAGAAAGTATTAAAGATATGCAAAACACAACAAGAAGGATAGAGGATCGAGGATTATTACATACAATATTAACTAAAGTATATATTATAATCATTATATCTTAAATTAATTGAAAAATTCAATATATATTTTTTTTAGGGAGCAATAGAAATTTTAGCTGAAGGTGAACCATTGGGACCATCAGAATTCATAACACAAGATGATATATGTCATACTCCAAATATGGAGGAAATGGAAGTCAAAGTAGATCCAATGTTATTTTTACAATATGGTATGGAACATTCATCATCAGAAACTTCAGAAGCATCTGATACAGAAGAAATAATAACAAGAATGAATATTCCAGAACCATTATCATTAACAAATAAGTAAGAATATTTACATTAATATTTATACTTTTTTAACATATATGTTAAATTTCACTTATTTCTTATAGAACTGATGAAATAAAAAAAGAAAAAGAAGAAGAGAATAATGATAAATCACAAGAAGATACTGAAGAACACATTTCAGATGTAACAAAACCTCATGAATGTACAATATGTGCTCGATCTTTTATATCTCAAATTGGTCTACAAAATCATTTATGGTCTCATTTGCCTAAAGATAAACGACTTGATGGAAAGCCTATTTTAAGATCACAAGTATATTCTACTAATGGTGTGCTTCATACGAATACTGACAACAATTCATCTGGTAATTTTGTTTGTCCAATTTGTAGTAAAAAAATTTCTACTAAGGGTAATTTAAAAGTACATTTGGAAACTCATCGGCCTAAGGGAAAATATGGTTGTGACATATGTGGTAGAATGTAAGTATCATTAATTAAATATCTAATAAAATAACTATTAATAAAATTACTCTTATTTTAGTTTTAAAACACAGTCAAATTTATTCAGACACAAAGAGTATCATGGTGGAATACAATTTCCATGTAATGTATGTGGAAGAGTTTATCCAACAAATTCTACATTAAGAGCTCATAGTATAACACATTCGGATTTAAGGCCGCACGCCTGCCCTCTTTGTGATAAAACTTTTAAAAGAAATCAAGATTTAAAATTTCACATAAATCAACATACAGGTGCAAGGCCTTATCAATGTCCATACTGTCCAAAAGCTTTTGCAAGTTCTGGAAATTGTTTCTCACATCGTAAAAGAATGCATCCTCGAGAAGTACATCGAGACAGACAAAGAGCAGCAGATTTAATGAGATGAACCATGGGTAATCAATATGAAGAATGGTTTTAGAAAAATATAATAATTTAATTATTTAATATATATAATATATATATATATAATATATATAATATATATATATAATATATATAATATAATAATTAATTTAATAATTTAAAAATATAATAATATTCACATATTAGCTATTATAATAAAAAAAAATTTTAATTTTGAATATTAATGGTGCTAATGCAAGAAGCAACGGAAATTTTCTATACTTTAATTGAATCATTTGAACTTAGTATTAGATACTTATTGTTATTAACAAACACTTAGTTGTTTGTTCTGATATAACTAGATCTTCTTTACAAAAATAGAAACAAATATATATTTTTTTTAATTTTTTATCTATTATGAATGTTATTGAACTTGATATACTTCCATTGTTGATAAATGTGCAATTATGTGCAATTTAGTAATTATTATTTATTGAATCATATATAGTACAAGTAATTATAATAATAGGTTTTAAACTCTCTAGTCAAAATAAGAAATTTGTATTTTTTACTCGTTTATCTGTATTTAACTTCTATACATTTTTTTCTTCATTTTTAAGAATAGAAATTATATTTAGATCTTGTTAATATTTCTTAAAAACAATTTTATAATAATGCAGTAAAACTTGAAAATTTTATTTTATGCGACCATATTATTAATGAAAATCGAAAATATTATTCAATCAAGATATAGTATTATTCGAATAATTTTCAATTAATATTAATATAATTGGCCCATCGGTAATGAATACAATAAAGTTTTAAGCTTTAAAATTAGAATTAAAATATATTTCTTATAATTTGCGTAAAAAAATAACTAGTAGAAAAGAATTAAAATATAAGACAACTGTGATTTTTTATAAATCGGCGGTATATTAGAAAATTCAATCATATCGATGGGTTAAGTACTATTTACATTGTAGATATAAAATAAAATAGTAACACAATTACTTATTTCCGTACGCTTAAAATTTAATCTTTGGCGAAATATAATTTTTTTTATATTTAAAATAAGGAATTTATAATATTTTTTGAATCCTTAAACGGGTACTCTGTATATTATATGTGATATTTTTAAACAATATGTACTTAGTATATTTTCAAGAGACAAAAGGTACAAAACATTAAATATTGAAATTATTTGATATTTATGTTTGTTATGTCACCTGAACAATTTCATTTCATTCTTAATAAATAATGTAAATGGATTTGAATGGTGATAAATGTTTTAAAAAATATGTTATTTTGTCCATAATATAAAGAGCTATTTAACAATATTTGATAAAGTATTTATATTTACGACAAAATGATAAAAAAATGACCAAAGAAGAAAAAAAGAAAAAAAAGAAAAGAAAGCATTCTTCGAAAGAAAAAAAATAGGAAATTTTGTAGTTCAAACCATATTTTTAGCACAATATATGAACATCATCATTAAGTAACGTTAAGACTGTATACGAAATTCTGTGTCAAATTAGAATAAAGCATAAATATAAGGAATTAGTATATGATATCAATGACTATATGTGACGAAAAATGAGACTAGTCTATTCAAAATGCAGTATTAAATAATAAATAATGTAGAGGCTGTAGCCAATGTTAAAAACGATCACAATGTTATTCTTTTAAACAGATATACGATTAAAAAAAAAGTATTAACTAAAGTCTGAGTAGCTTCTAGGAAACTTTAGATAAGAATTTTTAGAGAAGAAAACATGTAAATGTAGAGGATCATAGCCTCTGCTTTCATATCGTATACATCGCATATATATTAGATAGCAAAAAAGGGGATGTTCGATATGTTCGAATGAATAGCTACAGAAAAATGTATGATGTTTGTATAAGTAACAAGTAGTACTTATGAACAAAAAAAAAAAACCGTGTATAACCGCGTTGCTATATTAGCGTAGGGTGGTTGAGTTTTCGCATTAACGAAAGTGAAATGGACCAAAGAAGAATGGAAATTATATTACAATTAATATATTGAATTTAATTTAAGAAATATTATAATATTTTTTATCTTTTTATGTTTTTTTAATTTCAAAAATAGATATTTTTCAAATCAAATAATACTCAAGATAAACATTTTAATAAAATATTTTATAATATATATTTAATAACGCGAAAGCTGCGATGGATAGCCACCCTTGCTTAGAGATATAATCGTATATTTTGCAATTACATTTTTGCTTATCAGTTATGTAGTAATGGATTAAGATTATTCGATAATTATGTATTTGCGAAAATAATCAATTTTTGATAAGAAAAGAAGAAACGAAAGTGAATCGCTCACGATCTCGCTCTCACAGCTCAATTTTTACATCTAGTTCTAAGCAGAGATGAGCAAATTATCTATTTTCTTCTTCAATTTTATTCTAGTCCTAATACTGCCAAATACATTGCACCTAAAAAATGTTATAGTTATTGACGGTGCATTAGTTTATATTTATTATTATGTCAACCAATATTTTTAAATTTTTATTAATTGATAATAAAATATTTTTAAATCAATTTGCTCAGCTCTTGCCATAGGTCAAAAATTGAGTATTTTTTTAAAGTCCACATAACACAAAGACGATTAGCGTTTAAATTAGCGATTAAAACAGTATCTCAGAAGTGCCAGTAACGCAGTAAATTAATGTAGTGTATTTCAGCAGACAAATACTGGATAATTATATGTAGATTCGAAATATGAATTGTCGATAATATCAATTGTGACACTTAATAAAATGATTGTATAAAAAATTGGTTTAATAATTTTTTTACATATTTTATTAACTTCATTTATTATTTTCATTTTATATTTTTCATGTTTTTTTTATTTGATCAATTAATAAAAAACATAAAAATATAAAAATGTAATAATACTAAATATAACTTTTTTCTTTAAATTATGTTAAATATATTTTTTTTCCTGAATAAATTAAAACTTTGCAATTATAATGAAAAAAATTAAAATTTGTATAAAATTAATTATATTAAAACGATATCATTAATTTTTACAATAATTAATTTAATTTCTATTTTACATATTATATTTTAATTATAATAGATATAATAATTATTATATATATAAAAGATATCTACATTATTTTCATATTTCACTTTTACCAGATGCTTTAAATTAGTTTAGATATTAAATTTGCATTTATATCTTTTTGTTTCTGTAGTAATTCATGATAACAAAAGATTGTTGCATATGATTAACAATCATTAGTCATACTGTCTAAAGATATCACTTATTTCAGGAAAATAACTATGTTATCATAAGAATATTCCGGAATATATATAATAGAAAAGTACTACAACTATATATTATATAAGAGAGAAAAAGAAGGAGGGAAAAAAGAAGATAATAAAAAATGGAAAAAAGAAAATAAAGAAGGGAAAAACAGGAGAATAATAAACAAAAAAAAAAATGATAAAAGAAAGAAGGAAGAAAAAGATGATAAAAAAAGAACAGAGGAGAATAATAAATAAATAATAAATAAATAAATAAATAATAAATAAACAGAGGAAAATAATAATAATAAAAAAGGAAGGACAGAGCAGAATAATAAAAAAGAGAATGAATCGGAGGATAATAAAAAGTAAGAGAAAAGGGAGGATAATAAAAGGAAAAGGAAAATAATAAAAAGAGGAGAGAAAAAGAAAGATGGGAAGAGGAAAAAGAAAATAATAAAGGAAGAGAGGAAGAGAAAGATGATAAATGAGGAGAGAAAGAAAAAAATCGTAATGGAAAGAATCCTATGTAAATAATAATTATTTTTTCAATTTTGTTTTATTCATTGTTCTTGAATAAAACGTAATTCAATATAATTTTTTGAAAAAATATTTGTTATATTCAAACATATAAAAAAAAGTATATGTATATGTTATTTTGACATATGTTATTTGGATTTATTATGCTTGATCAGCGGCACTACCCAATATATAACTATCATTGTGGCTTGATTAATCTATTCCATAATTGATTTTTTGTTAATAATTTGTTAACAGAATTGTAACGAAAATTTTTATAAAAAAAAATATTATTTGAAATTATCTCAGGAATCTACAATTAATCTGGTATTCTATATTTTTCAGATACCCTAAGTGTATAATTTTATAATACATATTTATATGACTATCAATATAGTTTGAATTTGTCAATTTGATATAAATATATGTACACACATATGAAATGACAAAAAGAATAACAACAACACATAATACACATAATATAACAAAAAGAGTATTTATATATATAATATATATATAATAATATTGTTATTAATTTTTTTTCGAATTGGTTTTAATTATACCGAAAGTTTGGTACCGAGAGCTTGGTTTCAATTTTAAATTAAAATTATTTGAAAAAAAATCATAAAATTATTTCAAATCTATTTTTTGATTTTCAATTTGAATAGAAAATTATTTCGAAGATTGAAATAATAAAAAAAAATATAAATTTTTAAATGTAAAATATACAACAATAATAAAAAGATAATAATTAGAATAAGAATTAGTATTAGTATCAATAAAATTTATATTAAATACAATTTATACTAATATAAATACTAATAAGCAATAATTAGAATAATTATTTTATGACTCATACAAATGAGTTAAATAAGTCAAAGTTGTTTACTTCAAATTTGTTTACTATTTTCATTTCTAAATTAAGATAGAAAAAACGAATAACTCTGATTATAAATATCACGTATATATTGTAAAAGTTTTTTGCTTGTTCGATTCTACATAAATATTCATATGTAATAAAAAATTGTTAATTTTATAAAATTATTTATATAGCTAAATTCAATTTTAAGTAAAAATATTACAAAATTTTTTCTTTTCTGTAATTGCGCTATTTATCATAACATCATTCATCATTTTTTTTTATTATAATGTTTATTACATTATTTATAATGTTTATATATTGAAATTATTCAAATCGATAGAAAATAATTAGTTTATATAATAAATTATCAATTAACGTTATGTTAATAATCTTTTATCTTACGAAAATTTAATTTATGGATTACAATTTTTGTAAAATTTTTCTAAAAAAAATTAATCAATAATTATTTATTATTTAACATGATTTTTTTTGAAAAAAATTTGTTCTAGATAAAATAGATTATAACACGTTTGAAAAAATATATTCATTTAATATTTGTTATTTTATAAATATTTATTTGATTAATATCGAGAAACAATTTATGAATTTAACGTTAAAAATGTTAGTACTGGAGAAATAAATGATAAATATCATATTATGTTAACTTCCATACTGATGTA